GCTGAGTTGAAGGCAGAGTGTAGGCGTGCAGAGAGGGTGATTAAGGACAATAGGAGCAGGCCGAGGGCCATTATTGAGTTAGCATATTCAGATATAGAATGTGCACTAGAGCGCGGGGACACTAACTCAGTTGAGGCTATGAGTAATACGCGTAGGGGGACAGGAGGCCAACTACCTGATTATGGTAGTAAGAGGACTAATCTTACGCAGGGTAGAGTGACAGAGCGTATATCCGCGAACAACCCCAAACCCACCATTAAGTCATTTTGCCCATCACCATTTCACTTGATGCTTTGCTTCAAGTGCGGGATGCCAGTCGATTTCTACTCCAAAAACCCGATAGAAGCCCAGAAGGAGACTAGGTGCACGTCATCCTTCCACAACATGATATGCTTCTCATGTGGAGGTGACACTTCTTATTGCGTTTTCAAGCCTGAGAAGGGAAACGGGACACTGGCGGAGATCACCGGGGGCCCCAGCCAGGGAATGCAAAACCCGGATAGCTAGCTATGGCAATCCTCAGAAGAGAAAAAGGCAATGACGTAGTTAGAAAGATAGGGGTAGGACAGAAACATGAAGTAAAAAGTTTGCATGAGAGAAAGATTGAATATGAAGCCGCTAGGAGAATATTTTGTGATGAGATTGCAAAGAAGAGGAATAACAGGAATTTTAGGAAAAATACAAAAACTGAGGGAGAAAAGGAAAATGTATAGAAGAATTTACAACAAAATAATTTCCACTATAGTAACGGTGAAAGGGGATAATAGGAACTTTGCCCAAACCAAGATAGGGGGAAAAGAAGCACTAGCTCTACTAGATTCTGGGGCAGGAGCTAGCTGCCTAGGCAAAGACGTATTCCGATTTTTGCAAGGCAGGGAAGATAGTATGTTACCGATAGCAAATCAGAACATTAGAACAACAAATGGAAACGAAACTCTAGTGACCGGAGTAATAACTCTTTCTGTATTATGGGATGGAATAAGCAGAGATCTCGAGTTTTTGATAGTGCCAGGCTTACAACAGGAAGTGTATTTAGGGATCGTTTTCTTGAAGGCTTTTAACTTGACTGCGACTGCGCATCCCGCACTTGCAGCAGTGGCTGAGCTCACGCCCGCTGATGGTGACCTGACCTTTGACGCAGTCCAACACGAACTTACGCCGGAACAGACCAATGCGTTGGAAAGGGTGAAAGCTCAGTTTCCATCCTTCGCGGTATTAGGGTTGGGTCGAACAGAATTAGAGCAACATGTAATAGAGGTAACTGATGAGAATCTGCCGGTAAAGCAGCGACACTATCCGATATCGCCCGCCATACAAAAGCTATTTTTTGCAGAATTAGATAGGATGCTAAGCATGGGAGTCATAGAGGAATCTAATAGTAGCTGGAGCTCCCCGGTATCTTTGGTGGTAAAAGGGACTAAGAATCGCCTATGTTTAGACGCTCGGAAAGTGAATGAGCGGACCATAAAGGACGCATACCCGCTGCCTCATATCGACGGGATATTGAGTAGGCTCCAGAACACAAGATTTATTTCCGCAATCGACTTGAAAGACGCTTTCTGGCAGATTCCGTTAGAGGAAAGATCCAGGGAAAAGACTGCATTTACGGTACCAGGTCGACCACTATATCAATTTACAGTTATGCCCTTCGGACTTTGCAACGCGGCACAGAGAATGTGTCGCTTAATGGACAAGGTTATACCCGCATCGTTACGTGAGTGTGTGTTTGTCTATTTGGATGATCTGTTAGTGTGTTCAGAAGAATTTTCGTCTCATTTATGTTTATTAGAAAAGGTCGCTCGGTGTTTGCGTGAGGCTAAATTAACAATAAATGTGGAGAAAAGCAAGTTTTGCTACAAGGAGGTGCGGTATCTCGGCTATGTAGTCGGGGATGGATGCATTAGAACGGATGCCAACAAGGTGGCAGCGGTGAGGGATTTTCCAGAACCCAAAACCCCAAAACAACTACGACGATTCCTGGGCATGTCGGGCTGGTACCGACGTTTCATCCAGGACTATGCGACCATTGCAGCTCCGCTGCACGACTGCCTCTCCAAAGACAATATAAAAAAATTCGCCATGACTGACGAAGCTAGGAGATCCTTTGATCAACTGAAACAAAGTTTGATCTCAGCTCCCGTACTGATACATCCGGACTTTAATAGACGTTTTTTTATCCAATGCGACGCATCGACTGACGGAGTGGGTGGGGTACTGTTTCAATTGGACGATGACAACAACGAACGACCGATCGCCTACATGTCTGCCAAGCTAAATAAAGCGCAAAAGAACTACAGCATAACCGAACTTGAATGCTACGCTGCAGTTTTGAGTGTTAAACGGTTCAGGCCATATGTGGAAGGGCTCCCATTTACGATAATAACTGATCATGCCAGCCTAAAATGGCTCATGAATCAAAAAGATTTGGCTGGCAGATTAGCGAGATGGAGCCTGAAACTGCAAGGATATAATTTTGATATCCAACATAGGAAGGGAGCGCTAAACATCGTACCCGATACTTTATCTCGCATTAATATGGACGAATTAAAAGCAAATGAAAGGATGATGGATGTTTGTTTTGAGTCTCCATATTTCAAGTCCGAGGAATACACTGAGCTGAAAAAGACTGTGACAGAGAACCAGGACAGACTTCCAGACCTGTGCATTTCAGACGGCTACGTTTACCGACGAACACAGTTCAACAGGGGGGACGGGCTTCAAGCGGACCAAGCCTGGAAGCTCTGGGTTCCGTCGGAGTTAAGGCCGGGGCTGGTAGAGTCTTCTCACAGCTCACCTTCCGCAGGTCATGGTGGCATCCATAAAACTCTGACACGACTACGAGAGAAATATTACTGGCCGGGGATGGTAGCTGATGTATGTACGCACGTCAAAGCATGTGAAGTCTGCAAGTCAAATAAAACGCAAAATGTTTTTAAGAAACCGCGAATGGGGAAACAGCATATCACTGAGCGACCTTTTCAGCGATTGTTCATAGATTTCATGGGTCCGTATCCTCGTACTAGTGATGGTAATGTGTATGTCTTTGTCTGTCTCGATCACTTTTCTAAGTTCGTGTTTTTAAAACCTATGCGTAAAGCAACTTCAGCGGAAGTGATAAAATTTTTGAAAAAGATGTTTTCCATATATTCGGAGTCCCTGAATATGTCCATTCGGACAATGGAAAACAATTCACTTCTGACATGTTTACCAGTTTCTTAGATAAATACGGCACGAAACATGTGAAAACCGCTTTCTATTCACCACAAGGAAATGCGGCAGAACGAGTCAACCGATCGGTGTTACAGATCATTAGGTCATTCATAAAAGAGAACCAGCGTAACTGGGATAAGCATGTCAGTGATGCTGCCTTCGCGCTTCGCAGTGTTGCACACTCGGCAATAAACACATCGCCGTACCACGCCACTTTCGGTATGCCTATGATACAGCATGCTGCATCTTATGAGCTATACCGAAAGTTGGGCGCCCTAAGGGATAATGATTGCGAAGTTGAGGCGGCAAACGACAGGTTGCAACTATTGAGGAATAAAATTATGAAAGAGCTAAAGTTAGCCCACGAAAGGAGCAAAAAGGTTTATGATACGAGAAGTAGGGACGTCAAGTTTCAAATTGGACAAGTGGTGTATCGCCGAAACTTTAAACAAAGCTCGCAACTAGAAAATTATAATGCCAAATTAGCTCCCAGGCAAATTAAATGTGTAGTTTTAAAGGTTATAGGTAATGCTATGTACGAGCTTGGAGACAGTAGCGGGAAAAGGATTGGCATATACCACGCTAAGGACATTTTTGGAAAGTAGATGCTTGTTTTATGTAGTCTTGTTCTAATTGTTGCATGTTTGCTGTGCGTGCCAGAGGTTTTATGTTGTATGTTTCCTTTTTACCTAATTTTTAGTTATATCTGACTTTCTATTTATACTTGACTAATTTACTCATTTATTTACTTTTCGTAATTATTTATTTATTTATTTCCATACTTGACTAATTTACTTATTTATTTACTTTTCGTAATTATTTATTTATTTATTTCCATACTTGACTAATTTACCTATTTAATTATTTTTGCAATTATTTATCGACTTATTTTTTATACTTGACAATATTTGGGGTGATTATTTATTTATTTATTTATTAACTTATTTGTCTAATTATTTCTGTGATATTTTATATAAGTAGGTTATCTCTCCTGTGATATAGTGTAAAATAAGAAGGTAGTAAATTATGTAGAAATAGAAGTAGTCCTGTGATTTAGTCTCAAGATGTGAACAATTACGCCCAAGGAAAAACAACTGATATATAAAGGCCCGGCTAGGAGTCATGGGTCGAGGCCACACGTTGGACGCAACAAATACAAGCAACAGGCTGCCTTATTAATTTCTTTACGCACACGCTCCATGTTGCAGGCACCATCGGCGGGTCCGAGCCTGTAGCGGCAGCGGTTGCCTAAGAGGAAGTGTGGCAGATACATGCATTCATGTATATACGGCGGCCATGATGTTGCTGAGGCATTGGCAACATTGTAGCGGAAGCAGTGGAATTCAGGTAGTGGACTTTGTGGTGGGCATATGACATCATGTAGCGCAGTGTGAGGGTGTGCGTGTGAATAGGTGTCCTCACGAAGTGAAACCCGTTGAGCTAGTATGAGTGGCATGAAGGGCTTATTTGGTTTGATCGCCGTATAAAAGGGGGTAACCGTAACCAACGGGCCATTAAAGTGGTTGCGTTAAAACAGTGCGAAAAGTTGGTGAAAGTGCGCAAATAAAACGTTCGAAGTTTCTAGATACATAACTTATATTAAATAAATCCGCTAATGGTGTTTAGTTTTTTTGATGACCGTCTTGAAGTGCTACACAGGAATAGGAGGTAAGTTAAGTGGTTTTTAAGAAGCATGCATCTAAATGTGTGTACATACATATGTACATATATGCCCCGGCAGGCCTGGAGGCCTGTTGGGATAAACGTTCATATCCCAATCGGTTTAAGCTATTTGAGCTCACTTAAGAGTGATTGTCTTGGACCGCCTTGGTTGCGAAACGGCATCGATGAGATATGCGAGCATGCGTATATGCATATGTGCATATATGTATGTATATACATATGTGCGTATATACATCTATGCGAATGCTCACATAATGTTTTCAAACATCGACTAAACTCTGTTTGTCTTTTATAGGCCGCCAGAGGAAATAGGGCAAAAGGACCTCCATCCAGTTGGGACCTGAGAAGGATCACATCCAAACGGAGAAGCTACCTACATCACAATCACGTCCGTCCGACAGTAGCGACCAACTTCACAGTCGGCTGTGACGTGAAGCAGCGTACAGCTGATCCATCATACGTCCCAAAATAGTAGGTTGATGACCACCTAACCTCGCTGGAAAGTATAGCTGAATATACCCGCGGGTACCGTCAGCAATAGCAGAGAGTGCTGGAAGACGAATTTGCTGCAAAATATACCAAAAACTACGTGGGAGCATCGGGACAACATTTAACAGCACGAACGCGAGCGGCGGTCACAAAATTACACGCAGCGGCATGATAAACCCTCTCTTTGCTTTGTAGGCCATTCGCCTAAATTTTTAGTACTTTTCCTTAGTTTTTGTACATACGAGTTACTGAATTCCTTTATTTTATTATCTACATAGGTATATACATATATGTTTTAAGGATTAGTTACTGAATTTGCTAAATTTTGCTATTTTTAATTTTGTGGTAATTCCTAAGCTTGCGATTTCGAAGTTTCCTAGGCATTTCATTTTATTTATATAGTTTTTAGTACTTACTTCCACACCGCCAGTTTCCAGGTTATTATTCCTTCTGCCTTTTGAATTTGGTTTTGAGTTAGGTTACGTGATATCATTTTTTTATTCACCGCATGAATTTAGAGGTGATTTATATATATATGTATATATTTCGATATTTTGCTTTCTTTTTATTATTATAATAACGGCCCTTTTTTATTTTTTTTAGGCCAAGACCTTTTAAACATACATACAAAGCCCACATAGAAATTTTGTTTTGCAGTTAGGCATTTCTTTCTGCGTAATTCCTTTTTTTTGCTTGAAATATGAATTTTCACTAGTACCCGCATTAGTACACGCACTTTCTAATTTTTTTTTTTTTTTTTTGGATTTTATTCTTAATTTAGCTTGTTTTTTTTAGTTCACTTTAATTGAATTGTTTAATACCTACTACACGCGTTGCTCCTGTCTAGTATAGTAAGACTGAAGGCGACCGGCTCGATGCCCGCGATCACATGCGAATGATAGATAGGAAAGTGAATAGGGCTATAGCACCGCTACCGTGGTAGTGTGTACTTGTGTATATATGTATGATGCATGTTTTCATATATGTTAGGGTATCAAAAATGCAGCTCTGGTTCACGTTCTTTGACGTTTCTCCGAGTGGTGAATTTATAGTTGCGATCCCGTACGAGTCCGGACTAGTCAGAATCAGTCAGAATTAGTCAGAATTTACGGGAAATCGATCCCGTACTCAGTTCTCTGACTATTGAGAGGATAAAAAAGAGAGTAAATACGGTTCTCTCCTGTCAGAAGTTACCAGTTTTAGTCCGAGAATTTTTTGCTGGTAAATTCTGGTAAATGTGTCAAACGATCAGCTGTAGTGTGTTTGGCAACCAAATTGTAAACAAAAGAAAAGTGCACTCTGCTAATTCATGTTGAAAAGTATTTAATTACTTGTTTAAGTGGATTCTAATGAATTTGAAAGTATTTTTGGTTACTTACATGTGTGAGCTTAGTGTGTTTACATACAAAATAAACAAAAATTTACAACCAAAATTTGGAGGTTATGTTGAAGTTGACAGAAGTTACCATTTCTTACTAGAAAGCGATCCCGTACTTTTCACTGTTACTTTCTCGCTCTGAGCGAATTTTTATTTTTTGACAGTTTTACTAGTCCGAGTCCGAGGAATACGGGATTGAACCTTATATTTTTCTTAGAGATTGCGAGAAGAGCAGGTCATTTTGTAAACAAATACTTTTCATATAATTTTAATAGATAATTGCCATTTATTTTCTAATACTCAGATATCCCGCTTGCAGCCAGAGGCAATGGCATGTGAGGCTCACTAAAATCTACTCATCTCGTTGGAGCAGCTCCGGGTAATTGACCATTGAATGTGCTGGATGAACTTATGTCTACGATAAACAATGGGGTCTTCAATCAAACGCATGTAGTGAATTTATACGGTAGCAGTTCATATCAATTACTATGTGTATTTCCGTAAAATGGTTTATATTAAGTATTTTTGAGGAGCTCCGGGTAATGGCCGCTCAAACTTGGTTGCGCCCTGAACTGCTTGTACAGGTCAGTGAAAGATTCACAATGAGGATTTTGTGTGAGTTATAAGATATTACTTTTCAACATGTGTTCCAAGGATTGGAAGTAAGGTGAAGTGTTCGAATGAATTGGGGAAGTCGTTGTATACTTGGGTTGGTCAAAATATCTGCGCTATGGGTTCTAGCATAGAGATTTGCTCAAGCAACACGAGACCGCTACACCCACGGCGAAGTAGCATTGGGTGCATTCCAAAACGTCAAAATACAAAGCATCAGTCCCTTTTATTTCGAAGCCGCAGTTAAAGAAAAAATCTAACTTGCGCAAACTATCTAACCGTTGGCACTACAATCTGCTGAGGTTTGGAAATAAGAGAGACTGATGCTTTGTATTTGGACAATTTGGTATGCACCCATTTATTTAGATTTTGATGCAGATATTTTTACGCGCGTGTGTGTGTATTAAGAACTAAAAAGTAAAAGGTTTGGGAAATGCGCGATATCGTTAATTTACTGTAATATTGTGATAATCCAAAAATTTATTTAAATGTGCAGAAATTAAAGCTACCTCTTCCTTTATGTAAAAAGTTTCATAGCTGTATCGATTACCAGCATCTCAGTAGAACAAAATAGGTATTAATTTTTACAAAGGGAGTAATAAAGTAGCTTAAGTTACTTTAAGTTTGACTTCGAATCAAAAAATAATAAGTTACAATTTAAATTTTTTATATTTTTTATTAATCTTCTATTGAAAGGGCATTTTGAACGGCGCCTATGGCTAGTTAAACATTGAAAACTTGTTTGGGAACCCAATGAAATGTTGCTTTAAATGGAAATAGGCCCTTTCGACTAAGGTTACTTTAATTTAACGGCACAGATATTTAAATTCTGAACTTTAAAGCCGTAAAGCTGTATTGAAGTAAATCAGAGAATTTTATTACATTCAATGCAATAGGCCTGTTGTGACAATTTTGAAATTGTACAGATATGGAATGATATTCTTTAAGAGATGGCTTTGGTTCTCGGAGATTATTTTATATTCTATTAAAAACCCCATATCCAAAAACATGTCAAATAGGGCCTTTTGCATTCATTATGACAATAGGACAGTTCATCTAAAGGCGTAAACGCATCGTAAACGTACTTTATTTTGAATGAAAAACCGGTTTATTTTCGAGGATTACGCTGTTGCGAGGCATTAAGCCGATTAGATGAATACTCTAATATGTATGTACATAAGTATCCATAATGAAACAAACTTTAAAACTAAACTTTGTGTGTATTTATTTAGCGATATTGTATTTGCCCCACCACCCATGAGGTATGCAATCAGGCGCGTTACCGATTTTTTTTAGGTGTTCGGTTCCCCCAGAGGTATATTTTCACCTATATAACTTAAACTAATAATACAACAAAAATTAAAATAATTCATGTTTTTTTTTTTAATTATATACTTTAACTCAAAATTATAAAAAACAACAAAAAGCAAACCGATACATTTAACTCAAAATTATAAAAATTAACATAAAAAGCAAAACTATTCATATAAAACAAAAAATATTGCACAGCAAAAATTAAATATATAACTTAAATTTAAATTAAAAATTAAAATAATTCATGTTGTTTTTAATTATGTACATTAACTCAAAATTTTAAAAATAACATAAAAAGCAAACCAATTCATGCAAAACAAAAAATATTGCACAGCAAAAATTAAAATTATGTTTTCAAAAGTAGTGTTTATGTACATATGGTCTTATAGAATAAGTTTTTGAAAGCACCCACAGTAGAGACCCTAGAAGCTTTGAACTAATATAAAAAAGGGGTCTTGAAAAATTACCCGAAACTGTATTCCGAAAATAGCAAAATTATCTGAATAAAGAACGATGTTTCGGGGGCAATAAGCTTATCAAATAAAACACCTCTTTGAGGTAAAATTTTCGAGTGACGAAAGCTAAACTAGAAACACAAAATTTATGATATCAATTTTGTGACGAAAATTATACGCATTTTTTAACTGCCTTTGAAACGTGCGGAAAATCTTTTTTTATTCAAACGAATCGTTGCAAAATTTCTGTTTTTTAATTTGTGCTTCTAGCAGTAGACGGATTTTCGCAACGTTCCGAATAAAAAAAAAAAAGATTTTCCGTACGTTTCAAAGGCAGTTAAAAAATGCGTATAATTTTCGTAACGAAATTGATATCATAAATTTTGTGTTTCTAGTTCAGCTTTCGTCACTCGAAAATTTTACCTCAAAGAGGTGTTTTATTTGATATCAATTATTTTGGGGTAGCAAATTTAAAATCGACGAAAATACAAACAATAAACTAAATGTTTTATTTTTATCAAATAAATTGCTAAAAATATTCTCTAAATCTAAATTATGTATTCAAATCGATGTGTCCATTGAAACACATAATTTTTCGTATACGGAATAAAGCAAAAAAGAATGATCATATCCTCTGTATTCGAAAAAATTAAAATTAAAAGCAAACTATGAGAAATGATAAAAACTCAACAACTTGGTACCAACTTTGGATAATAAACAACTGTACTCGTGCGATTGTCTCGTAGTATATTTTTGTTAAGATTTCTACCGGGTGTGTGGCGCACACATGGGCTTTTTTTAAGAAGTTTTACTTAAACTATTATTAAACTAATGCTTTTTTCTCAAGTAGTTTTGCTCAGTGGCAATTTATACATATGTATGTAAGTAGTAGCGGCACATTGGGTGAACTAAATGCATTCATACATATATATTTATGTACAACTGTAGCTAATATTGTACGTGTAGGTTAAGTGCGGGTGATAAACACAAGTAGCATAGTTAAATACTGTGTACATAACTACAATTAAAACGTTGAAAATGTTACAATTTCGGCATATGACTGAAAAACGAACTCTAAAATACACACAAATTGTGGTTTCCAACACATGTACCAAGTGATTAGCACAGCTGCATCCTTCAACTTGTCAACTCGCGGGAAGTTCCCCTATTTGCAGAGAATTTCGGTTTAAGTGGCAATCGGGGAATGGGCAATTTTTTTCGGGGAATTGGGTATGTTATTTTTATATCTTAAAGTAACGAAATTAGGCGGATTTGTTAATTTTTAACCATTTGACCCCTTTTGGAGTGACAATTTGAATATCAATATCTCCACAACAAGAGTTTTCCCAGATAGAAGCTATATACCATATGGAAACTAAGGTTTTGCGCTAGACTTGTGGAAACTTAGAATAAAATCGACTGACCAGTTTTTGAGAAAATGCCCGAAATCTCTATTTTCAGCAGCCCGATTTTTAGTTTTCAGGCGATAACGTTATGGCGTATTTATATTTTATAAACACAAAAGATAGCGTTACATAGCTTGTTTGAAGACCCTTCTAATGATATCCACATCAATGACATGGACTGAGTACTGCGGCCTCAGTGGTAGTTAAAAAAATTGCCTTTTTTCGAATTTCAGGCAGCAGCCTCGCCCACAAAGGCATACGAATCAAAACATCCTGGAACAAAACCTTCTTGGTTTTTTTTTGTACTTTAATTCCTGAAAGTTTGAAAAAAATTAAATGATGGTACGTACAGTCGCCACATACATACCAAAGCATCTAGTAGTGGAGACACGAACCAAAACACATATACCTCTATATCTTTCCAACTAGTGGCCGGAACTTAATATGTAAGGTATCGTTTGAGAGGTATTGGCCTATAGAATAACACTAAATATGTTGGGTGTGCCCATATGCCCCCTTAAACCGGCAAAAGCAATAAAACGTTTTTTGTTTCGCAACACTTTAGCCAAATTTTTAAGAATCCGGTTAATCGTGTACGAAGCTTGAATATATTTTCTGGACACACTCTGCAAGACCTTTGCAACGATATATCAAACATGTCGATTGGACGTCTGGATAAAATCTTCCAAATCTCGTGTATATATAAGCGAGTCATTTCAGCAAACTACTGTGGCTGCTTTCGTCACTCGCGTGCACTGCCGTTCGCTGCGATTTACTGACCCGTATTAAATGCGAAATAAAGTACGATAAAATAGTTCGTAGGCTTTTCCAATTTTATTTAATAATAACTAAAACCATGTACAAGCGATTTGTATTAGCTGCTTACAACTACATGCTAGCGCTCTATACAATATTAAAAAACGAGTAGTATGAATGCGCGAAATACCAACAACGATATGCAGGAGTTTCACTAAAAATGCTTCAAATGCATATGCTAGCGCTTGCGAAGATGACCGAAATGCAAGTAAGACAATTCTTAGGTGTACAAATTAACCAGCCTACAAAATTTCTTCTGGCTCAACTAGTACAATGGCTTACGGTATAGAGATCGGATGATTTAGTGGTACATATTCCAATATAATGCAGTTATGCTAATGTATTTATGTACAAGTATGATAACAGCGCATTATCAAAGTCGCTCAAAAACACTAAACCGGTTCTTAGCATTAGGCAGTAGCGGGAGTACAGATTGATAGCAAGCAAACGTTTACCGCAGAACTCCACAGGCGAACACCGATGGCCTACCAACTGTCATTTTTACGAGCAATGTGATTGCAAGTTTTTGTGTGTGGGCACTTTTATGTCTTGAAATAAGCATTTGCCGCATGACGCCACCAGACAACATTCTCTCAATTTCGGTGTTTACATTTAAATCTTTAAAAAACTTGCTGAATAATTTCTTAAAACGTAATCATAAATAATCCAATAGGGAGCAGATTTTTATTTTGATTTAATATCAAAATTTCATCGATGTTATCACCAGCCCGCTTTCTTTCAAATGAAAATATGGCTGTCAAACTATCGAATTGCCTGCAATAGATGTCAAGCAATAAGCGCTACTTATATATATATTATAGGCAAACTTTCAAATAAAGCAGAAAAAGAAAAAAAAAAGAATAATAATAAAATGACACTAGTTCACTTCTAAAACTACTTTTTAATATCCAAGTAATGGGAATTATTGCAAATGGTGTTATTGCTCTGCTTGTACCGAGTATACGTTCAAATTTAGAAGTCTGAGAGTAGGTAAAATTTTACATATTTTTACATCGCTATTGCATACCACATGTTCCTTCGTATCATGATTCAATAATACAAGGTTCGATAAACTGACAGTTGTCTCTCTCGCACCGCACAGTGTAGCTTTGGTGTGAAATAAAAGTATAAGCTTTTGTGCAATATGTTTATTTGTATATGCATATGAAGCATATTTAACTGATGAAAACATAAGCATTGGATGTTTACATCAGTCTCATAGTAGTCTTATTTTAAGTTTGAGTAATTTTGCAGTTTTTATACGGCTAAATAGCATATAAATTACGTAATTCACGTAGATATATCAATATTACGTTCAACATTTCGTTCAAAATGCCAGATTTCCTGCAAATACATTTGAACTTACGAAAGGAATTTCACTACTAATTGCCTACATTGCGTACTTTTCTACAATCATTTTCGAAACAAGGGATTGCATTCTTGCCCTTTCTCTGTCCTCCGTAAATGCAACCTTTTGTAAGGGAGTGTCAAACCGCAGCTGTCAATAATTATCTAACCTTGTATTATTGAATCATGCCTTCGTATTCGTAAACGAAATCCACAGCTCGGATATGGTGATGATAATGTAGAAATTTTAACTGAAGATAAAACTCAAACCAATAGGGCTGTTCAGTATCTTGTGCATTTGCTCTTGCATTTCCATATTCGTTTCATTTGTAAATTCACAACAATAAAATGCTCACTGTTGCCATGACAGCAAGCATAAAATTTGCTAATGCCATTCCGATTGCAAATCCAAGGCCATTTTCACAACACCCTGAATAGCCCTAGTATTCTCTGTGTTATATATATACTGCGATCATGAACGGCAACTTTTGTTTGTTTCATGCCATGGCGGAATTATACCAGGTGAAGTAATTAGAACGAGAAGAAAGATTTTGGCACTGCCTTGTTTGAAAAATTGCCTTTAAAATTTGACTGTAAGACAGCGGAATGACAGAAGATACAGCGAGAAAGCTGTTTTATTACTTCACTTGTTTATTGCGCCATGGTTCCATGCAAACATTTCAAGGTTTTCCAGTAATGTTTTCAACATATTAAAAAGCATGCGATATGTTTTTTATCCCATGAACGAACTGTGAGTGTGTCTAGTGCGGACGTGTAATTTTTCGCTCCTCAGTTAAAATCAAAATATCGTTGTTTTTTAACATAGTCAAGTGAAATTACGGTTTCGCATACAAAACATCTGCTTTAAGTTGATCTACCTACGACGTTATAACTATATACGTGCGGAAAATATTAAAATATTTATTTAATTTGATTTATTGGCTGATTCGTTTGTTTGTCAACAAATTTTGCTGTAAGTGATGTCCCCTGCCCCCAGGTGCTCTTAAACGTCGCACCAGCAAAGGTTCTCCGTTGGCAAAAACGCCGAAATTGGACGAGAGTGCGATTTTAGCAACAGTTCTCACGACTTTGCATGACCTGGAGGAGAAAACACAGCAACAATCTGATAAGCTGCAATCTCTATTTGATAGCTTGTCTGAAAAAATAACGGCGCTCGAGAACACATTAGCGAAGAGAATTGATGAAGAAGTTGCTGCCCTAGTAAACAAAACAAGCGAGTCGGAGCAGCGTACAGTTGTGCTAGAAAATGAATTGGGCGAATTCAAGAGCAAAGTGGAGCAATTGCAAAACCAGCTAAAGAGAGCATAGGCAGAGAAAACGATTTCGGAGCTTGCTGCTGACGCTGTCATCTTTGGTGTACCGCATGTGGAAGGGGAAAATCTTAGGAGCATATTTAATCAAATTTGCATCTCTATTGATTTCCTCGCTCCGCAGANTAAAATATAGCCCCCTAAAGGTCTACACTACGTTGCTTATGCATTTTACAGACTTTTCGTTCATTTTCTGACAGTCAGTTACGGCAGCTTATTCATATTATAGTTAGCCCTTTAGAGCCGCGCGACCAGATAATAAAGAAAATAAAGAGAGTAGAGCGAATTACGCGGTAATCATAAAATTTCACAGCCCGTATGATCGCAACCGAACGCTGCGTGCTTTTGGCGAGTATCGTAAGCGGACTAATTCTGCAATAACTCTGTCTGTAGTTGGTCTTGAAGGCCAATTCAGAATATTTGAGAATCTGTCGCTGTCGAATAAGAAAATATTGCAAGAGGCGATAAAACTGAGAANCGAATAGGAAAATATTGCAAGAGGCGATAAAACTGAGAAGGGCTGGGAAACTGAAATCTGCATTTACGCTGAGAGGTGAAGTTTATGTAAGAGCAGGTAAAGACTCTCCTCCAGTGAAGATCTCTGCGCTTGATGCACTGCGATGTTTTTAAAGCATATGTATTTACATGCATATTCACAAATGCTTAATTACTTGTTGAAGAAGTTTAAAGCTTTCGTCTCCTTTTTGTTTTATCTATATTTATTTTACTTTACACTGCACTCAAAATATATTGTGAGGATGGTCAGTTTAAGTGTACTTTGTTTAGTTATTAAGAGTTCTTATTTTCGTCCAATAGTTGTTTAGGTTTATATGCTTAATTATGTCATTTAGCATTGGAGCGCGCGGTGTTGTTGATAACAGTCTGGCTATGATTAATGTTTTATGTCAGCAGCATAATGGTTTCAACATAGTGCATTTTAATTCTAGAAGCTTGAACAATGAGAAAATGGATTATATCAGGTTTGTGTTTGAGTCTTCTGCTGTTGATGTAATTTGTGTGACTGAAACCTGGTTTTCATATGAATTGGATGATTCTCTCTTTAACACCAATAACTACAGGCTCATCCGAAATGATAGGACACGTAAAAAAGGTGGCGGTGTGGCAATTTTTTGCAAAAATAATATCAATATAAACCCAATATTAATGTCTGAAGGCCCTGGTGTTGAGTACTTATTTGTCGAAGTGTATGATAAGCCTTCCAAAATATTAGTGTCATGTGTGTACAATCCTCATAAATTCATAAGTCTTGATTCTTTATTTTCGTCGCTGTCGTCGTACATTGTAGATTATGATTATTTAGTTGTCTGTGGTGATCTTACTGTTAATCTTCTTGTTCGTGATACGTGCAGTGGCAAATTGTTGGATAGTGTTGCCGGAGCTGGCCTCTCTGTTGTTAATATGTATGTACCTACAAGATATGCCAAAAATTGCAGTCCTAGTTTACTGACAGTGCAATTGTGCTAAAATTTGTACAGATATCGTTTTTATCAGATCATGACCTTATTTTTTGCACATTGGACCTTAAATTTGACCGCTCGAGTGAAGGAAGCGCATACACCTTTAGAGATTACCGCTCGCTTGACAGCAATGCTCTATTTTCTGATCTGTCCTGTGTTAATTGGTGTGAATCAACCGTAAATGAGAAGCTAGATTTTCTTAATAATAAAATTTCTTATGCTTTCAGTAAACATATTCCTGTTCGTATTCATAAAGTTAAATCCACATCATGCCCATGGTACAACAATAAGGTTGGGGCTGTAATTAAAGCGCGTAATAAAGCATACAGCCATTGAAGGAGGAACAGGTGTGATGCGGACTGGGAATCTTATAAGGTAGCAAGGAACCTGGCTACCAGGATTATTAAAATGGAAAAATGTAAATTCTTTTCGTCACGTCTTGATCCTGCGCTTCCACCAAGTGCTTTGTGGCGAAATCTAAAAAGTCTACGCGTATGTGGTAAAGTTGTGCCAGAGTGTACTCTGAGTGCAGATATTCTTAATAATGCCTTTGTTCAAAGTCCTCTATGTAGCTTAAAACCTGTTAATGTTGTGCCGTGTGTCTCTTCTTGTTATTCGGGTAGTAAATTTGAGTTCTCGGCTGTGTCAGAGTATGATATAATACGATGTATTTCTAGAATTGGGACCAATGCAACTGGATCAGACGGAATTCCTATCAAGTTTATTCAAATCATTTTGCCATTTATAATAAGTACCATTATGCATGTAATTAATCATTCCATAACGACTTCTTGTTTTCCTCAAGCGTTGAAAGTAGCCATTGTTAGACATCATCCCACAAGTAAAGTACCAAGCTCTCCGGGGGATTTTAGACCCATAAGTATTTTGCCAGCTCTGTCTAAAGTATTTGGAAGCTTGTTAGCGGAGCAAGTCAGTGCACATGTGCTTAAATATAATTTACTTTCACCGTTTCAGTCAGGATTTAGAGCTAAGCACAGCTGCTCAACCGCATTATTGAAAATACTAGATGACATACGCATACCTTTTGACAAAAGTCAACTAACCCTGCTCTGTCTGCTTGACTTTTCGAAAGCATTCGACTCAGTTGATCACACATTGCTAAGTTGAAAACTCCAACAATATTTCGGATTTGGTGATAGGGCGCGAAAGATTATGGAAAGTTACTTGACAGACAGAACCCAGTATGTTTGCACGGGACAAGGAGTTTCTCAGCCAAGAAGAATAACCAGTGGTGTTCCCCAAGGCTCAATACTAGGTCCTTTATTATTTAGTCTCTTTGTTAATGATATATTCCATGCATGTAAATTTGTAAGTATGCATGCATATGCTGATGATATCCAGCTGTATTTGTCGAGTAGGTTTACTGATACAAGTGATCTGTGTTTTAAAATAAATAGCGACTTATCATGTTTGTTGCACTGGGCGAATAACAATGGCCTCTGCCTCAATGCTGCAAAGTCGTGCGTGTTGCCCATCGCGAAGAAAAATGTTTCGTGCTTTAAAATTCCTGCAATATGCATTGGGAACACTCCAATAAAGTCTGTGAGTAAAATCACTAATCTTGGCTTTGTAATTAACTCCAGCCTTACTGATATCGACCACATTAACTCTGCTGTGGGTAGAGTATATAGTTAGTACTCTGCGTAACCTAAAACAGTATGTGCACTATACTTCAAATTAGAAGAAAACTTGCCATCCAACTCATACTGCCACTTATAATCTACTCAGAGTTAGTTTACAACAAACTTGATTCTAGATCTGCTCATAAAATTGAAATTGCTTTTAATCATGTCACACGTTATGTTTATGGCTTGCGCAGGTTTGACCATATATCTACTTGGAGGTCTCGTCTTTTAGGCTTTAATATTCTTGATTATCAGAAGGCTAGAAGTTGCAATTTCCTTTTCCGTCTGATGTCAGTAAAAACACCGTCATATTTGTATGAAAAGCTTGTATTTAGTAAATCTGTCCGTTCTTGTACCTTAACTGTACCCAGTTTTAATTATGTAACCTCCACAAGACTGTTTTTTGTCAACACCGTTCGTATCTGGAATTCTATTCCGGCTACTATTAGGAACACTCTTAACCAAAACAACTATAGGCGACTTCTTTATAGTTACTTCTCTGATAATAAAACTTAAATTTGGCATATAATTATTATTATAATTTCTTTACTTTTTTAACTGACTATCTATAATAAATGTAAGCTACTTCTCCATTAACTTTGTAACGTTACTATTTATTTATTTATTTACTTATTTTTCCCTCTATACTTTTAATTTATGTATACATACTTGTAATGAGGGAATTATATAGACGTTATTGTGTTCGTATGTCCTTTGTAATAATTATTGTTTGTTGTACTATAAAAGATAAGATATCTTATTGTACTAATTATAATCATTGAAATGAATAAAATTAAATTAAATTTCCAATTTGCCAAGCAGTTATTAAAGACGAGGCTTTTCCTATAGTTGGTTAGACTTTTCATAAGTAAAAATAATTTGTGAATATTACTTCCTTCAGATGAATTAGTTTTTTTTCTTCTATCAATAAACTGTTTTTGTTACAAATAGTATAAATAAGCAGTGTGAAATTAGACAAAATTTGTTATATTTCCAACCTTTGTTGGAGGAGTCACGAGCAGTTGGGGAAATTTATTAAAGCTCTGAGTTGAGCACGCTTCGTATGAGATGATTTGGGAGCAATTCATCGCTGGTCGCCTCGTTGCAACTCGGAAGCGCAAGAAATATTGTGATCAGTGTTGCCACTGCCTTAGGCTTTATAGTATCCATAACAGATTGAAAATTGTATCCAAATGTATCCACCGAAAAAAGCGGACATTTTAACACAGTACATCTATGGAAGAGAAACTCGGCCCCTTAACAAACTTATTAACATGTAGTCAGTATTTTCCCATACATAGACACGGATTTAGGAAACAAAGGCCCGTAGTTATAGTCAAAATTAAGTCGACTCTAAAGTTAATTGCAGCTTTTTGACATAATTTTCAATGGGATACCTGTCAAAAAAGCTGGAACTAACTGTAGCGTTGACTTAATTTTGACTATAACTACGGGCTTTTTGTTCCCAGATCTGTTTCTTAGAATGGAAAAATATCGACTAAAACTACGGGCCACTCTTTCCGCATGTTCAATGTTTGTTACTGCGATTAGATTCCCACAAATAATACATGCAAAAAATGTTGCCCAGTCTATCCAAATAATACTAATTTAAACTAAGTAATTTTGACCTGTTACATTTAGTTCAGTAAATTGTTATTTCTTGCTATTATGGTTACAATGTTTTTCAATCAAACTGGTGGATTGGAGCTATCTATGAAATTAAAAAATTTATATTTCCGGCTTGTTTGAATTCTCGCTTAACGACATATAACTTGAAATTTAGAAGTTATAAGTTATTTTTGATACGGTCAAGTTATTGTTGAAAATTAGTCATCGGCATGGTTGTCAATTTCCTTTGAATGCTAAGAGAAGGGTTGCTCAGGATGTAAAAGTAAATTTTTTCGCATTACAGTTAACTACTACAGGTCGGAAAACTTTTTAAAATTTTCAAACTACTTGGTGTTATTAAATGCACGTTTATGTAGCTAAAAAATTAATTTTTGAAAGTGACAAGAATAAAGGAAAATTTCTTGCTTGGAGGATGAGCAGCCAACTGTTGAAAACGTTATTTCTAATAGCTCGTACATAAATAAATAAAAAATTCCTTCAACTTACGAATACTTATGGGAAAAGATATCCAAATTTACACTGAGGAAAAAAACGAAGTATCTCTCAAAATTCAAGGCGAAAATGTATCCAATTGGATACATATGTATCAAAACGGCAATACTGATTGTGATTATGATGCTCGCATCTACGCGGTGGTGCCGGCGTGGGACGAAGAGGCGGATATTTTGGAATATCTTTGTGGGGTCGCTCATAGTGTTTCTCCGTAACCAATTGTTCAACCATTTGATCAATTTTGAGATTGATTTTTTGTTATTTAATGGGTCGATTACGGATAGCAACGCAACCATGGTTCGGTTGCCAGCTGGAAACGCAACTGGAAAGAAAATTTGTATTACGAATGGCAAATATCGTCAGTTACTGTAGAGTACAGAAATACAGCAATAAAGTTAAGTTCAACACAATTCTTTATTCAAGAGGAAGAGAAGTACATGAACGCGGCCTCAATCAGGCGACATTTAAAGGATAATCCTCTAGAGCTTCCGCGTGCACTGTAAGCAAAAGTTAATGCTTTCAATGTTTTTCTTTTATTATCGTTTTGTATTCAATTTCAAAACATATTGAGGACTTCCAAATGAAGCTGTAGTATAATTGCTTAAAAACAGATGACCCACTTCGTTCAACTTAGATACCTCCTCTCATAAAAGCTTGCGCACCTCTTCGATTTTCAATATGGAAAACTTGGTGTGTCGGTACTTTTAAAAGAGGTGCTTCAGTTGATAAAGGAAAAAATTTGCAATCAGTGTTCGCGTTTCTTTCGCCAAAAGGGCATACTCCAAGGGAACTAAAATTTCAAGTTATTGTTTTGTTATTTTCACCATATTCATATTTCAAAATATTTCAGGCCTTCGGACTAAATGTTCGACTGTCTATTTGCGTAGTTCTTCCCTAGAGATTGAAATTTTTGTTTTTGTGGAATCTTGGCTGAATGATGAATTTTTCGATTGTGAAATTTTTGATACTAATCTTTATGATGTTTTTCGTAAAGACCGTGACTCGTGTCAAAACCGGATGTTCCTGAGGTGGTGGTGTTCTCATTGCTGTTCGGAGAAAATTTCGAGCATCATTGGTAACACTCACCAATTCATTGATCAGCTTTGCGTTCGTGTTCATGGCTCGTCTGGAATCATTTATGTGTGTGCCTCGTATATTCCGCCAAATAGTGCCGACTATTTATATTTTGCACATGCCGACAACATTGTGTCATTAGCAGCAAACATCACTGGTGACAGTCATCTTTGTGTCCTCGGTGATTTTAATTTGTGTCATTTGAATTGGTCCCCACTTAAAAACTCGACTGCATTTATGGCCACTAACGCCAATTCTTCAGCCGAGATTCACGTCATTGATTGTTTTTAAGCATTAATTTACTTCAAATTAATGGATTTTATAATAGCCTTAACAGAATCTTAGATTTAGTGTTTATTTCCAATAATGTTCACTACACATTGTCTGAATGTATCACACCCATCTCTCCAACAGATAAACATCATATTCCGCTCTAGAATTGGAGTTTTATGAGTTTTCTGAGGTTTCCGATGATTCCAACACGAAATTTCAACGCGAAATTTTGTCAACAATTGATTGGTGTGATGCTTTCAATGAAAATGATGTTACTTCTTGTTTCCATTACTTTAAAACTAAGGTATCTGAGTTATCCTTGAAGCATGTTCCTATTTTTGAAAAGAAAGTATATAAGACTCCTTGGCATACCAAACGGCTAAGGCATCTAAAGAATTTGAAAAACAAATTTTGCAAATTGTATAAAAGGACTGGTGACCCAGAGCATTATTCCAAATTTCAGTGCTATTTAAAGGAGTTTAACTGTTTGAATACGTTCTTATATAGAAATTATATTTTGAATTTTGAAAACAATATTATTTAGAACTCGAAGGCTTTTTGGCAATTCATTAAATCAAAAAAGTCTTGTTCGTCAGTTCCAAATAATGTTTTCTTCAATGGTTAAAGCGGAAATTCTGCCGTAGATTCTGCCAACCTATTTGCCGATTTTTTTTTGCTCTAATTTTGATAACGACTTAAACTTGGATCCTAGTTTTCCTTCTAGGAGTGACTCTTCACTTAATTTTGGATCTCTCTGTCTATCTCTGACTGACGTCATCAATGGTATTAAGAAGCTCAAGCCTATTCTAAAACTGACTCAGATGGCCTTTCGGCTGTCTTACTGAAAAACTGTTTATGTCTTGCAGAGCCTCTTGCAGTTATTTTTAACAAATCATTGCCCTCTGGTATCTTTGTGGATGACTGGAAATTTAATAAAAGTGGAAACAAAAATGATGTTCGCAATTATCGGCCTATTTCGAAGCTCTCGTCTGTCTCCAAACAGTTTGAGATAATAGTGAATGAAAAGCTGTATTTTGTGGTCAAAAGCCTTATTTCCACAAATCAGCACGGTTTCGCTCCAAGCCGCTCCACAGTCACCAATTTGTCCATTTTCAGTGAATACTGCATTTCAGCGTTCCATAACAGATCTCAAGTGGATACAATTTACACTGATTTCTCTAAGGCGTTCGACAAAGTATCCCACCGAATACTCCTGTCGAAGCTTGGGTCAATGGATCTTCACTCCACGTTTTTGTCGTGGATCAAGTCTTATTTGTCTAACAGGCATTGCGGTGTTGTCATTGATAATGCCACATCTCGTCCATTTACTGCGTCCTCTGGTGTCGCCCAGGGCAGCATTCTAGGGCCCCTCTTTTTTATTCTCTTTGTAAATGATATTGGATCATGCTTTTCCTTTGCTGAATACTTAAAATATTCGCGGTCATCAACACCGATCTGGACTCTGAAAGGTTGCAATCACACCTTCACAATGTTTACAATTGGAGCTGCTTAAATCGTCTGTCGATAAACATAAACAAATGCTTCCACGTAACTTTTGCTAAATCGGTTACTACTTTACATACTTCGTAAAGTATTGCTGGCTCTACCCCGAAATTTGTTAATGAAATTAAAGATTTTGGCGTCATTTTCGATTGTAAGTTAAATTTCATTAGTCACGTCAACCATGTAATAACACGGTCATACCCGAAGCTAANAAACACAAGCTCGAAAATTTGGTTTCGCAAAAACTCCAAATTCTCAGTTGGCACGATCTCTGAGAACAAAATCATAGAGCTGTTAATAGTTTTAAAATATTTTAAATATTTGTTTTTGTTATTTTATGGCCTTATAACAATTATATTCAACAATTTCTGTTGAGCTTGAGACCGCTTTTAATGAAATGCTTATTGTGGAAAAGCAACAATAATTTGAAACAAGTAAGNGAGGCCCCACCAAATAGGTCTCTCTAATCGGCTTGAGAAAGTTCGAAAAGTTTTCGTTCGTTTTTCTCTCCGATCTCTAAACTTTTCTGAGCCATTACACTCGTATAAATCTCGATGTTTATTTAGAGCGTTCCAGCATGTCTACGATTTGCAGGTTTTGCAGGATTTAGTCCAAAGTGNTTTTGAATACATCTGCATACATCGATAGAGGAGTTACATACTTATATAATCATATAATCATCATATCATATAACAATCAGAGGTATTGAAGATATACCTTATATAGCACTNCAAAAATTCTGTATCTGGGAACACTCTCGTGAGAGTAACTGAGAAACTGTCCCCAGAATGAAGTTGCAAGATTTAGTCCGGAGTTTTTCTTCTGGCAAATTTATGAAAAGTGTCAAACGATATGTAGAGTTGCATTTGTGTANTGAAATATTCGAATATATATGCAATTATTATTAATTATAGTATAATAGTTATTTAGTGATCTTTCAGCCAAATCAGTCTTGTACTAATGACAGGTAAACAAACTAAATGACGTTTTTGCTGGAAAGAGTGCTTTTTGCGTTCCCGAACACTTCGGCATCTGTTCTCCTGTTACTCTCACTAGAGAGAGTAAAATTGTAGTTTGACATTTCCACAGGTTTTAGTCCGAAAAGTACTGGAACAAACTAGTTGAATGACTTAAAAACACTTGAGAGCAGAAGATCCATTCTATCGTGTTCATTTGTGATTAGTATTATTTCTGGGAGNATTGAAGATATACCTTATATAGCACTAATCTAAGTGATTTTCAAGTAAATAATGAAATATTCGAATATATATGCAATTATTATTAATTATAGTATAATAGTTATTTAGTGATCTTTCAGCCAAATCAGTCTTGTACTAATGACAGGTAAACAAACTAANTTCGAATATATATGCAATTGTTATTAATTATATAGATTTTAATAGTTATTTAGTGATCTTTCAGCCAAATCAGTCTTGTACTAATGACAGGTAAACAAACTAAATGACGTTTTTGCTGGAAAGAGTGCTTTTTGCGTTCCCGAACACTTCGGCATCTGTTCTCCTGTTACTCTCACTAGAGAGAGTAAAATTGTAGTTTGACATTTCCACAGGTTTTAGTCCGAAAAGTACTGGAACAAACTAGTTGAATGACTTAAAAACACTTGAGAGCAGAAGATCCATTCTATCGTGTTCATTTGTTATTAGTATTATTTCTGGGACTATTGATTGCCCTTCGCTGCTTAGTAAAATTCAGTTTAATGTACCTTGCAAGAATCTTCGCCATTTTGAGTCTTTAAAAATTGGTTTCTCGAGAACTATTTATAGAGTGAATGCGCCTATTATATAAATTTATTTTTCAATTCTTCAGGTGCTGCTTTTACATGCACGTATGCCATCTTAATCAACCAACTAAGGTCTTATTTTTCTTAGTAATTACTATTGTACATTAGCTTAATATAGTCTGTAAGAATTTGTCAATTCAATGACTTTACATACAAATAAACAAAACAAACAAACAAAAGCAAACTGCATTGCAAAATGTTAATATCGTTCAAATTATTAAAAAGTAAAATATATGACAAACTTTTCAATTCTCGCTCCAAAAACCTTCCCAGCAACCACAGAAATGTAGTTGCAAATTTGGTGTCACACTTTCGATTGGCTTAAAATTTCTTTATGGGTTCTATACATGAAATAGGCTAACACGTGTTCGAGGAATTTTTTTCGCTTCTTTCTTCGGAGATATGGCCTGTCGAAGTTGGAATTTTTTCGTGATTCTGACTAATTATGTACTCCTTAAAATCGTTATAAATATTTCGGGTTCTGCCCATCGTACAGTGAGCGAAATTGGTTTAGCCGCATATTGTTTCATATCGGTTTGAAAGAAAATACAATTATAGAAGTAAATGAGAATACAATTTTTTCAACATCTTTTTATTTAGAATAGAAATAACTTAACTTATTAACATTTCAAATTCATTAAAGAAAAAAATTTAAAAAATTGCACGATTCTGCGCGAAATTTGTTTAGCCTCATCCAATTTGGATGAGAAAAAAAACATTTTAGGTAAAAAATATGTATAATTTGTAGTTTTAATACGTTGTTGAACCTCCATTTTTTTTAATTGTCTGGAAAATTCGATTTGGCATCGACTCAACTAATTTCCGTAACGTATTTCTGTCCAGATCTAGCCATGCCTGCAAAATGGATGTTTTTAGCTCCTGCACTGTTGAATACTGGCGACCATTGGTATAAACAACCCTTGCAATTATGCCCCAAACATTTTCAATTNAAATGGATGTTTTTAGCTCCTGTACTGTTGAATACTGGCGACCATTGGTATAAACAGCCCTTGCAATTATGCCCCAAACATTTTCAATTGGATTTAAATCCGCCCTTCTAGATGGGCAGTCAAGCAATGGCACCGATCGAGAAGAAAAAAACTCCTTTGACTTTCTGGAAACGAGGACACTTGCATTGTCCTGTTGAAAAGTAAATTCTACGTCATCGTGCTCTTCCAAATAATTGATGAGCACATCATCCAGCATCTCAATGTATTTTTTGGAGTCCATTTTCGTCGTAATGAAGCATAATTTTAGCTTTCCATAGTAAGAAAATGCTCCCCATATCATGATGGTTCCGCCTCCGAAATTGCGACTCATTTTTGATGGGTCATTTTGGCGAAGATCATGCCAGTAATAACTAAAACTATCCGGACCATCTAGGTTAAACTTTTTTTCATCTGAAAATATAATATTGTGCCACCGTTCAGTCCAACCCATGTGCTCTTTTGCAAATTTCAGTCTGGCAACTTTATGTGAAGGAGTAAGTTGAGGTCTTTTTAACGGTTTTTTCCACTTTATATTTTGATCAGCAGATAAAATTTGTTGAACCCTTCGTTTTCCGATGGGAAGTTTTAATTTTGCAACTATTTGCGATGCGCTGAGGCGATTTTTTGTAGCTTCTTCCTTAATGATGTTGCATTGGCGCCGGGATATCTTTGTATTTCTCCTACATTTTTTGGGAGAAATACCATATTTCTCACCTAGTTTCAAAAAATGTCTCACAACTTTTTCCGATTGATTGATTTGGCGGCCAATACACTATTTTNTATATTTTGATCAGCAGATAAAATTTGTTGAACCCTTCGTTTTCCGATGGGAAGTTTTAATTTTGCAACTATTTGCGATG